ATATAATGATAGTCATGATTCTGGGTATTTGGCAAAAGTTAACGAACACCATTACAAGCTTCAACTTGTGCTAAATTACCGTTTCCAGATATGGGCATCATTTCACGATCATATATGTTAGATAAATATATGGAGATGGCTGGAACAGTCTTATGAAGCCACATGTCACGCTGTGCAATTATGCTTTATTGGGGAATGACAAAGAAATTCCTGAAATCGAATGGAGTTCCTTTCCCTCTCACCAAAACCATACAAAGTGTTTGAATAGGTCTGTTTTTTTTTATTATTTGAATTATGGCTAAATATTGAGAATAACATTGTACCAAGTTTCACTGGATGTATCTTGATCAAAACAGATCTCAGAAAGTACAAGGAAGGTAAGAGCAGTGCTTAATTGCTTGAATTTGAATCTGAAGCTTGGAGAGATCATATGATATGATGGGAAATAACAGGAAATTTGGTGCTTAAATGATTACAATATGTATAATAACAATAATAGAGCTTTACAATAGATTCCCCGCTGGCTGACAAATAAGTAGAGAAAGTACAAAATACAGCTGTAAGACAAAACAGAGGTGAATGTTGAGGGTCAGGGGGCGTGGACGTTGCGGGGGAGGGGGAGAAAACAGAAGTGTCTATGCATTTCAGATCAGTCACTGTTGGAATGTGGGCATCGCTCTATTACTTGCATTTATTGCCCATCCCAAGTTGCCCTTCAAATCAATGGCTTAATATATCGATTCAGAGCGCGGTTGAGAGTCAACTACATTGCTGTTTTTGGAGTCACATGTACGCCATTAGGCCAGAAGAGGTTAAGATGGATGATTGTCTTCCCTGAAGAACGACATTAGCCAGAAGTGTCCTTCCGTCAATCAACAAATGAATCAGAGCCATTAGTAGATTCTTAACTACAGATTTAAAAAAAAAAGAATGAATTCAAATCACCACATCTGCCGTAGATCTAAACACGGGAGTAGAACATTAACTCAGATTGTGTATTGAGAGTCTAGCGATAATACTACTTGCCATCACCCTCTCTGCATCCCGCCCGCCTCACTTCATATATTCACCAACACCACCACCATTGCCTTGTGGGTTCACTAACCAAATTAATTGAGATATAATGCAGATTAAGCAGTGGTGGATATCTAAGCATAATAAAGAGATTAAAGCGAGCTCAACTTGAAAATAAGGTGTTGAACTAAGATCTTGAACTGCTGCTGTCCACATGGTTCAGATTGTTAATGACAAACTTGCAGAGGAACTTGCACAAATGTTACCCAGAAGCAGTAATGAAATGACAGCATATTTCGAACTTAGGGCCCAGAATGGGTTGGATTGCAACTGGCTCGTGGTGGTGCTCCGATGTATCTATGGTCCTTGATTTTCTCGATCGAGGTGGTCGCAGGCTTGCAAGGTGCTCTCTAAGGATCATTGGTAAATTTCAGCAGTACATTTAGAAACCTGCATAGAGCTGCCATTGAGTGTCGGTACTTGAGGGGGAGAAGCTTGTGGATGTGTTAACAATCAAGCAGTTTGCTTTGTCCTAGATCGTGTTAAGCTGCTGAAGCATTGTTGGAGTTGCACCCATCCAGGAAAGTGGGGACTATTCCCTCAAACTCTTGAGTCGTGCCTTGTAGATGATCGACGGACTTTGGAGAGTCAGGGCGTGAGTTACTTGCCACTATATTCCAATTCTCTTCACTGCTCTTGTGGCCACTGTATTTATGTGGCAAGTTCTGTTGAGTTTCTGATCAACAGTTAAGCGGACGCGCTTTGATGGTGCGGTACTTAGTGATGGTAACGCCATTGACTCTCAAGGGGTAGTCGTTGAGGTCTCTCTACTTGCAGATAACTATTTCCTGTCACTTGTGTGTCATACCTGTTGCTTGTTAATTGTGACCCCAAGGCCAAACTCAAGCACATATACAGACGTCATAGTGTAAAATATTACATAAATGAAAATGTCAGAAAACGCATAAATGTTAGCATTAAGATGGCAAGATAGAGAGGTACACAATAACCACTAGGCAGGTAATTGAAAAGGCAAAAAAATGTACAAAAGAATGTGACCATCAAAAAATTGAATCGTATGACAAATCTTGATGCAATTGGTAAATATAGAGACAGATTGTGCTATATAGACAAAATCCTTGTATTTATATGTCAGATTTCTGTTGTATATTATGCTGCAAAAATATATATTGTTTACTTAATTCTTGTCACTCGAGCGCAAATTTATAGCTGTACTGGTAGACTGACGTCTCTGTCTGAAATATGACAATAAAAGTTCTGTAAGCCTGATATTCCTTGATCATAAGGCAAGATCTGTCTCCCACACATTAACTTTATAAGACACTGTAGACTACACAAAAATATAATCGAATATATAAGAAACAACATCTATCTGGCCACAACATGGATGTGCCTACCTCCTTGTTTTTGCATTAATTACATGCAATTATACAGGATCATATTGCAATGAAGTTCAACGTTTTCCATGCCATTAAACATATTTATCACATGTGCAGTTAAGTCTTGTTTCTCTGATGAAAAAAAAGCTGAAGGGACTCATGTGACTCAGAGGATTGTTTGAACGAAGAGATATGCATTCAAGTGCCACTTATTCTGCTGCTGTTGTGACAAATCTTTCAGGTCTATTTGGAAACCGCGTACAATGGCAGCTGGAGTACTGAGCACTGAAGCATCTTCGTTTACATAAGTTGGAAGTGTGCTCTGCTCTTGCATTCTTGATTTTGTCCGAAATGAAGTGTGTTTTTTACACAATTGAGTATGAGTTTCTTTTTTTGTTGTTTGCTGATTTTACTCAAAAGCCTACTTCCTAGATATCAAAGTGTCTTCCAAACATGACAGCAATACCAATTCCAACTTCATACAAATGTTCTTCGAAAGATTCACTGCCTGATACCAGCCCTCGAAGGATGCCGATCCAGTGTTTGTTATCTCCTCAAAATGCAAATTATCAACTTTTTTTTCTGACTGTGTTCTCTGTTAATTTAATAGGTATGCTTAACTGGAGCATGAGATATTTTTGTTTCTTCGTTTCTTCGCATTATACTCTTATGTCGCAGCTCGTCATTTGTTTCAGATAAGCAACCCACAGCACAGCTGTAATCTTTATTTAGAAAAACAAAATGCTGCTATCCACTTCCTCAGTGAACACTGCAGTTTTCACAAGTATGGTTTTGGTTTTTTTACAGCCATGCAACTACAAACGATTTTATTCTACTTTTCTAAGTGTCCCATTCAGCATCGTTTTGATCAGTTTAGCTTTTATGTATTAGGAGTTCTATATTTTACTCCTTTATTCACACATCCTCCCGCCACACACACCACCCCCACCCCCGACCCCGACCACCCCCCCACCCTACACCCGCCCCCCGCCACCACCCCCCTCAGCACCCCCTCCCCCCATCCCACCCCCCACCCCCCACCACGTACTTCATTTGTTGAAGTGATGATTTGCAACCTTCGGAACAGTAATTCTGAAAATACACGTAAATTAATGCTGATTTCATGGAAATGTCTTTGTTATAAATTTGCTTTTATTCTTATCACCATTTTGACTTTCGATCCAGCCATTCCTTTCCACTTTCCAACTTAATAATTTCTTTTGTTTTTAATGTTCATTCCCATTGTCATTCTTTAGATGTTTTTAATGAGCTTTATTGCCGAGTTCTGTTGAATTAATTGCCACTGCCTTGCTTCCCATTCTTAATTACTCATTGTGACTTCTGTGAGAACAGCGTCTTTTTTTAACCAATTTCTTTCTTATTACACTCCACTTTAATTCTGTTTTGCTATCGTTTTTGAACTTTCTTAAAAATCTAATCTCGTCGTGTGATTTATGCTTCTTATGCACATTCTGATCCTCCTGTGTTTATTTCGTTAAGGATTACCACAATCTCTTCAGTAAATACAGACATTTCGGTTGTTCTTCAATGTTCGTTACATGTGTAATTATTATTCCCTGATTTAACAACATGAGGTGCAATCTTCCTCAATATTCACTCTGGACCAATATTGTATTCACTTTGGTTGTAAGTTGACGTCTTCTATTTCTTTCATGTGCCATTATCTTTTAAGTTGCTTTCTCATTCCTCTTCTGTCTTCCTTGAACCAAAAAAAAGTTTTAATTCGATTCATGTTATGAGCCTGTCAAAATGTAAGTTAAAAAAATGCCATTATGATATTAAACCAGATTTTGTTTTTCATTTCACATTTTCTATTTATCCTGCCCTTTCACAAGTTTCCAGTTTGATTTGAGTCGTCTTCTCTGAATGTCATGGTATCTGGTGTCTACTCCTTTCTATCAGACATAAAAAAAGTGTAGTCATTTGTCTATGCATCAGCTGCAAAGCTGTCCTTGTAGAAAAACAAACTCCACTGCATTTGTTTTCCTTCTATGTGTGTGTGTGTCTGTGTGTGTGTGTGTGTGTGTGTGTGTGTGTGTGTGTGTTTGTGTGTGTGTGTGTGTGAGAGAGAGAGAGAGAGAGAGATAGCTGGAGAGTGAGAGAGGACAATCCCTTAACTTGTTCCACATCCTGATAGATTCAGATTTTTTAAAATGTTAATATTTGCATCACATTCAATTTAATTACTTTGTTTGGTCTCTGCCGCGGACTCTCTCAGTGTAGATTTCATTTTTGTGTTCAGCTGTTTCGCTAAACTTTCGACTGGTTCTCCTCAGTTAGAAAACACAACTTGCTTGCAGTCACAGCTGGACTTAAGCAGTTATTATGTTTTGTGGTTGTATGTCTCACTTTATATATTAGACGTGTGTGCACATTTGAATGATGTATTGCTTTTTTCTCCCCCATCGATGTTTGTTAAAGAGAAAGCACTTCTATATGTGCCCCCAAGCAACATAATACCCTGTCAAAATTTTCCAATAGACTTTTAATATGGCATTCTCTCGGGCTACAGACATGAGGATATATGCTCTCAGGAGCACAGAACGGCGTGTGTCATAGCCTTTTTCATTTTCTGGACTTGTCTGTCTTTTCATTCAAATGGAGGAATAGTCTGCATAAACGTGTTGTGATTGATATATTTGTCATCATTTCTGATCGGTCATTCTCGTTCAGGTAAACTGTAAGAACATGCGAACTTTTGGTTCAATCAAAAATCTCTGAGTCATTCATTGAAAGCAGCTGCCTTCCGTCAGCTAACCCAAATGATATTAATCTGTTAAAACTGAAACCAAGAATCAATTCGAAAATCGTAATCCGAGCGGGTGCTCATGTCTCCCTTTCTAAACATCTGAGCATCATATTCTTCATCAATTTATTAGCTTTTCTGTAATTTGAGGCTGTGTGTAGTCAATTGGAAAAGAAGATGATATCGGACATTATTTAAAAAAAAATGTTTGCTTCCTCACAGATCTTACCAAAGAGCAAGACGGTAGGAAGTGACAGTAATTTGGCTGTCTGCTTTAACTTGGCCTTAATATTAAATAACAAGATTTTGGATCAGAGACGGACAGAATTCGACACTC